GGGAACCCTGCTAAAATGAAAGGGGGCAAAGCATAAGAAAAACACAGTAAAAATGATGAATACTTTCCCCTTGATCCGTTTTTCACTTTTGTTGTCTGTCTTCTGTGTTTTTATGTAAGAGTCGTATACCTTTTTGGCAATAACTGTATAAAATAGAAGCATGAGGATGAGAACAGTCCAGAAGATGAACTGACAGATATAATTGACAGCTTCGTGCCATTTGAGTCCGAAATAATTCTTCAGCGAGGCACACTTCTTCACGGATTGGGGTGTTGCTTTCTTGTTCGATAAGATCATGTTGGGCAGAGAGAGAGCAAAGAAGAAGAGCCAGACCAGACCCGCGAGGATCTTTGCTGAGGTCAGGTTTTGCACCCAGAATTTCCCAAAAGGTCTCACAATCTTGAGAAATCTGTCAAAAGCAATGAGACCAAGGAGCACTATGCTGATATACATGGTGTTGTAAAATACTACGGCTGAGAAGCGACAGACGAAGGCTTTGAGTTGCCAAGGTCCCAGGCCAGAGTCCGTCAGGATTTTCAGAGGAAGCATCAGGGTCATTATGAAATCAGAAACTAAGATATTTTTCAGGTAGACAACGAAAGTTGATGTGCTTGGAATATGGAAGAAAGCCCAAAAAGCCAGGCTGTTCAGTACGAGTCCCAGCAGGAAGATGAGTGTGTACAGCACTGGGAAGAGCAGGTGGGTGACTGTGGTGTCTCGGTGGCACTGTGTGGAGGAGGGTGCTCCGCTGGCGTTACTGACAACACTCCTGTTTGCAAAGTCTCCCATTGTTCGAGATCGACTTGGGTGAAAAGGAGAGAGAAAACATACAGCATTCTGTATTTGAAATCGCACGTTCCTTACGACAACTGGCAGGTTTACCCAAAGAAACACAAAACCTCAACGTGCATTAAATGAACTGACCGATTTCTCTTCTAGTTCATAGAGAATCTAAATCTTTGCCTCAGTTTAAGTTGTTTACAAACGAGCGTCTGATGGGCAGTTCAAATGGTATATATTCATTGTGGAGGCCTAAGACAGTACAGTAGCAAGGTGTAACAGCAGATTGCCTGGAGCACCATGTGTCTTCACATGGAAATGTATTTTAACACGGAATAGAAATTTTACAGTTGCGGCCCAAAAGCAAGGTGCTTCTGGGGAAGTGACTTCCAGTATTTCTTACCAAGCCCACATCGTTTTTCCTTTCTCAGCAGAGATTTAAATAACATTTTCAAGATAAGACGCGCACTGCTGGTTATCAGGCTCTTACATCTGAAAGCCAGATGACCGAGTGCCCCGTCACACCCCATAAACGCTCCGATCGTGCGAGTACCTGAGCAGACCTGGCAGCAGCTGTTTCAGAGGGTCTTTGGCTATCACCGCCGGTTCGTCTGCTGTTCCTCTGCTGACAGAAGCCTTGAACAAAGTATTAAGAATGGGGAAATGTGTAGAAAGATGAGACTTTTTCTGTTGGTGTGTGGTAGTGTTTCCTTCCTCATTTTCATGTATCACTCGAGTTAGTTAATCATGTTTGCTGTTGCTTTTCTCTCTTCCTTTTACTTCTGTCAGAAAGTATACTGCCTTCTCCTAGAAAGAGAGACCCTCTCCATCAGGACAGGCACATTTTCTGGCTTTTTGTTTGTGTGGGGCAGACCTGATGGCACCTACATTGTGCTGTTACGATTTGGCTCCTTTAGAGACGTGGGATGAACAAACATGGAGTGTGTCCTGACAGCTTTCCAGGATAATCCTCAAATGTAGCTCTGAGTTCTTGTTTGTGGGTGTGAATTCCCCTGTTCTGGACAGCACTAGTCATCATCAAATGCGTGACCAGGAGGTCTGCTCAGAGCCGCCCTTACAGTGGGTTCCTTGGCTGCAAAATCGTGTGCACAGACACCTTCAGAATCTGCCCTCCCTCTGTGGCCTGTTAATACTGCCACGTGAGCCGGAGCTTGACTTTTAATCTCCAGAACGGGATTTCTGGTTTATTTTGGTGTCGGTGTAGCTAGGTGATCCAGTGTGCTGGTTACAGCCACTTTCTGGTTCTGGCAGAAGCTGCTGCCGCTGCACGGTCTGCTTTGTATTTAGTGTGTGTTTAGGATGTGTAATGTTGCAATCCAGTGCCTTTCTCTGTAAACAGAACTTTTGTATAAGTTTAACTCAGTTGTGATTTGTCTTGTGTTTTCCCATCAACTGGTGTGGCTTAGGGTTCGGGCTCCTTGCTCGCTGCCGTGCGGGAAACGGCTCACGCTCAAGCCGTCCCCTCGTGGGCAGACCTGGATCGCTGCCTGAGGTTCTCGGGCTGCAGCTGCGTTGGCAGTCAGCGCCTGCATTCGTATCTACGTCGTGGTTAATGCAGGTGTGCGTGCTGATGTCAGTGTCAAGTGGCAAAGAGCCCTGAGGGTGACTGGGATGAAGGTCACCCTCGCCATTGTCATCAGCGTGACATGTCCCTAGCTGCCTGACCCGACTTCTGTTCATTCATCAGTGTAAAGCTGAGAGCTCCACTGCTGTACCCCAGGGCTGATGTCCAAGGCAGCATCTTCCACGTTCTCTTCCAAACTGACCCCTTGACGCTGTTCCCAAGCGTGAGAGGGAGGCGCCACCTGCCTCCGCGTGTCCCGGCGGCGGCTGCGCTGTGGTACGCGGGTAGCGGGGGAGCCCCTGGTCTGAGCGGGAGGAGCAGCTGCCGGGCGACTGCCACTCTCTGCACGTGGGGGTGCAGAAAACGTGGGGAATGAGCGTTGGGTGGAAGTGGGGCATCTCACGCGCCCTGTTGGGCATCAGTGGAGCTGATCCATCCTGGGCCCCGTGGGGCTGGTCGTGGGGAGTGGCCGGCAGCGCTGGTTCCAGGGCAGTAAGCGGTGCCCTGTTTTCTGTGGCATAACCCAGTTACTGAGTGTGCTCGGGGTCGGTGCGTATACCAGCATAAGCAGTGCACAAAACTTTTTGTAAAATATTTAATTCATCCAGGCAGGTTATGCATAAACTCTGCAGGCTGAGTGCTGCAGTAAGCGAAAGTCTTTTGGCTCCTTAGGGTTGGGTATCAGTCCTAAAAACGGCCGGTGCCTGCCAGGCACAGAGGAGTACTGGAGAAGGGTAGACAGGCAGTGGCTTTTGGCAGGACTGAGCCTCTTGCACGGTGGAGAAACATATTTCTGAATTGAGGCTGTTTTGCAGTGGTGATAAATGAGCCATAATTTATTACAACAGCCTTTGGTCTTTTTGGTGTGTGGTTGTTACGATACCTGAAAATGTTATTTATCTGGAAATACTTCCCTGTTGTTTTTTTTTTTTTAACTATTCCAAATGGAAAAGGGGAAGTGGTTAGGTTTTTTGTCTAGGGCAAAAAAGCTGCCCTTCATAATCAGTAAAGATTTTACCACGCGTCAGTCTTTACCTGAGATCTAAGTGTTGTGCAAGTTGAGTCTTTGTATATTTTCTAGTGTAATATATATTGTTCTCTATAAAAATATACATTTTATTTTATTCATATGGTAAAGTGAACTATTTGAAGATTTAAGTCACATCAAGATAAGTCTGATTATGAAATAATTTCCTCTGACATACAGCTATTAGTTATTGGTCAATGGATTAAGAATTGCAAGCGTATAATGAGATAAGCAAAATGTTATTCTGTTACCAAAAATCTGCATAGATAAATAGCTTACCTACGTGTGGCCTATATTTCTGTTTGTCTGCCGGTTGCGTACAAGGTGAAAACTCCCTGTGTTTAAGAATCACATTTACTGTGGCTTTTATTTGTGTTTCCCCGGTCTTGTGTTGCCGTGGACTTTACTTTGGCCCAAGTTAAGCTATTTCTGCAAAAAGTTTCCAGTTCATAATTTTATCTTGTAGCACTTCATGACTCTGTTTTAATTTTTTCCTTGCAGCTCCAGCTGTAAGTTCAAACTTCTTCCTAGCAGTGCTGACAAGTGTGGCAGCTGTGACCAGGCGGTGCTCTTGTTTTATTCAGGCTTTCTAGTTCCACCGTTTGTGCAGCCGCTGATGTTGGTGCCAGGGTGCTTGTGCTTCGGCTGTAGGACAATTTCTGAAGTCAGGGAAATACTAGATATCTCCTGCAGGATTTGTGCTGCTTCCACCCACCAGTAAACGTCTGTGGCCAAGAAGGGGTATGGGTATAGCTCTTAGCTCTAGAGCGGCGTCTCGTCGGTGTCGTCTCCTTCGTTCTGCTCCTTCATCCGTGCTCTGAGTTCTGACGACGCGGTGTACTTGCACAGCATGTCTAGCAAGGACTTTCTAAAAGATTTGCAAAGGAAAAAGTATATGAACGGATCTAGGCACGCATTTAGCGATGTCAGCCACAGCGTGCTCTCTTTCAAGTAAAACAAGGTGTTCTGAGCAGAGCATTCGAAAACGTCTCTTGTTTGGCTCAACGTGTAGGGGATTCTAGTAAAGTGGAACGGCACAAAACAAATAAAGAACACTGCGATAATGATGAAAACCTTCAGATTTACAGTCTTTTTAGATGCCTTTCCCGTGGATCTTGTCCTTTTATAGGATTTGTACAGTTCTTTACTTATGAGTATGTAGCATATAACTATGACTGCTAAACTAACCCAGAAGATGAGTTGGCAAACATAGTTTACGATTTCGTGCCAGACTAAGCCGAACTTGGATTTCAAGAGAGCACACTTTTTAACGTTCTCCGGTGTTTTCTTCTTGTTTGTTAGAATCATGTTGGGTAGTGAAAGAGCAAACATTGACATCCAAATTGCTGTGGACAGGATCTTTGCGCCTAAAAGGCTCCTTGGTGTTGATGTTCTGAATGGCGAAGTAGCTTTCTGGTAGCGATCGATAGTTATTAGACCAAGAAACAAAATGCTAATGTACATGGTGAAGTAAAATACAACCTGGGTGACCTGGCACACAAATCCTCTCAGTACCCATGATACCAACTTTGCATCGCTGAGGATTTTAAATGGAAAAGTCAAGATCATGAGGAGGTCAGAAATGACAGTGTTCTTGAGGAAGATGATGAAATTGGATTTACTGGATATTTTAAAAAAGACCCACGTTGCCAGGCCATTCATGGTGATACCCACCAGGAACAGAACTGTATAAAGCAAAGGAAAAATGACTTGACCGATTCTGTTGTCGCTGGTGCAGTTACTGTTGTTTCTAGGGTCGCTGAAGTTGGTTGTGGCTTTCATTTGCACTTTGTCTTTTCCCCTCTTCCTGTAAGAACCAAAAAGAAAAACAATGAAATTGCGAGTTATATCTGTTGTAAGACTTCACCCTTTTTAGTCTACTTTTAGTTTTTGTGTTGGGAACATTTCTGTGGTGATTTTGTCTGCTGTAAGTTGTGTTTTATTTTACCGAAGATGTCAGATTTCTACCGGAGACGAGCGCTAGATGTAGCCGTGTTCGTAAGGTGGCCTGGTTTGATCTTCCGTGACTGAACTGCTGCGGTGACCTTCCATCCCAGCCGCCTCCCGGGCTTCCCACACAGCTTCCCGCAGGGGTGGGCGAGGGGCCAGCCTGGCGGTGGGCTGCGGGGGCGG